ATATATACTTAAAGGTACTTCATTATTATCATTTCCCTCTTTTCTCGTGTTGCTAAGGTGAACAAAACAAGGTGATTCAATCTTCACTCACAAGGTTGCCTTTTTGGACTGGCTGGATATCTCTCCTCAATTCCAGCCTGCCCTTTGATTTGAAGATTCTTGATTCATCCATGTAAATGCTTTGTCAGAACTGGTATGTTTCAGTGAAACCAGTTGAGAAATTCAAAGTTGATTTTTGTGTCAAAGGGATTGTAAGCCAGCGCACTGGTACTGACGGAGTCTTCTGTACAAGGGTGCTTTAGCAATGCCCATCTCTGATGGGTGAGCCCTCACCGGCCTACCATATAATGCACTTTAAATCTGTTTACACAATGCAAATATACTCTTCTTGACAGCTTAAGGAGGAACTGTTGTGTCACTTTTGACTATACACTTTTTCTAAATGCACTATTTCAGAACTAGTTGTAATGCAAATCATGAGGGAAGGGAGGATTATATCTGTTGCCAAACAACCCTGGACAGAGACTGCATATGTTGGCAGGGTGATATATTTGAGGTTGGTATTGATGGTAGTTTCCCCTAAAGATGTATTTCTGCAGTGGGTGGCAAATTATTATTATTTTGGTGAATTCTGACTGCTTGTTTGTATGTATCGTATATTTCACTGTTTATGAACTTGGATATAGGATCGTAAGTACCTCTGATTGTTTCCTAACCTTGGGAAACACTAGTAGTATCACAGAAGATATGATTTTTTTTTTCCAGAAAATACAGGAATGTAGTAATTTTTCAAGTATTCATTAATAACTAGTCCATTCATGCATTTATGCAAGTTGTGGTTGCAGGCATGATTCCATTAACGATGAGGTACTCTGAAGTAATTCAGTCATTATCTACAGTTGTAGCCCAAGTAAATAATAAGTAGATACCAATTTCAAGTATCGACATAATGTCTATAGACTCTGAAAATTCTCTTTCACTATATTAGTCACTTACAATCCCTTTGTATTTCTCAATTGTTTTCTACACTTGATGCTCAGACTCTTCATAAGTTTTGCAAGCATTTCTCAGCTCCCACTGAGAAAAGAGATCTTTACAAATGTTTGTCACTTAGTAATTCTACTCTGTTGTCCTCTTATATTCTTATCTAATATATTTGCAAACTATCAGGCAATAAGTCCAATCAGTGAGTTAATGATACACACTTCACTTGCATAGCATGGACAAAATTTCTTTAGTCATAAACCAATGTTATAATTCAGTTAAATATTATCCAAAGACACACCGGGTTGAAAGTCTCTGCTTTGCAGAAGCCATATTTCCCTTAAGCTGCAGATTTGGAAAGTGGGGTTCTACAAACGTCTTTCAAAGAGATGATGTGTAAACACAGCTTTTTCAAAGACACTTCACGACCAGTACTAGACAGTTAAAGTAATTATTTTCCGAGTGAAAGCTTAGATAGTAGCATAGCCCATGAACAAATTCGTGTTCTTCTGTGCATTGTATTGCTTTGCTCTGGTAGATACTCAGTCACCTACAGGAGGTGAATGCCGGTGTGGTGATGGCTCCTCTGCTCCATCTGGGGAACTGTGCATTTTCACCAACCAACGTGGAGGCAACAGTGATGAGAAACAAGGTAAGTCTCAATGGGCTTCATCATAAGTGCAATATGGTTTGATAACTGAACATGGCAGCAGAGAGAACTAGGAGGGGATTTTTTGTAATGTAACAAAAATATTCAGGGATACTTTTTTTCCTCACCCTCTTCTTCATCTGATTTTTCTAAGACGGTTTCTTCCTGATTCAATTTGATTTTTTCCCGCTTAATTTTCCACCTCTATACAGTGCACATCTTTCATAAATCTTCATACAGATATTATGTAGCAAAAAGTTTACTCATCCACTTACAATTTGATTGAAATTTAATGAATATTACTTTTTTTCCTTCATTTATATTATTTTTTTTTCTGAAAATCAGGTTTCATCCAAAATGTCTAGATCAAGGTATAAGTAACAACAGGGGTTTGGTTTTTTTTTTTTTGTTCCTCTTGCCCTCGCTCCTCCCTCTCCACCACCTCTGGTCTAGGCAAGGGAATTATTCAGAGGCTATGAATATGGTGTCTGCTGTTTCCCTTAAGGGAAACATCTAAACAGTGAGAGTGAATTTTAACAGCTGCAGTCTGAGTAAATCTGCCTTAGAAATCTACTATTTCCAGAATGCTGCAACACAAAATCATGTTACAAATTATTTCATATGATCCTCTTTGAGGATCTTTGTTCTGGAGTGCAAAGACGAGCTTGAATTTATCAAAACTTCTAATTTTAACTGAAAGTTTATCTAAGTTCTTCCACTCACTGTGCAACAAAGGAAGCTACTGTGTATGTTGGGTTTTGGGAGTTCAGCTTTAAATTCAAAATGGATGGTCTTTAGATGAGCCTGTGTGTCTCCTTGTGCACTGAAAAATACTAATTAGAGCGTGTTAACGATCGTTGTGTTCAGATGAAATTGGGGAGAAAAACCAGTAACTTAAATCTAGATTCTTCAAACTAGAGCCGTGTGCCCAGATATGTGGGCTTGTTCTTCTTCCACCATGACTCCCCATTTCATCCTAACACAGTGCAGATATGCATTTCAAACAGGAGTCTAAAATCACTTCTAGGATACTTGATTTTTTTTTTCTCTGAAAATAAGACAAATAAGACTGTATTGGATACCAGTACCTTTTGTAACTTTTTTGTGCTGTACTCTGTTAACTACCAATTGCTGGAAATTATGCCTGTTGAATCCCCTGTTGTGTGACTAACGCATCTCAGGTTAACACTTGCACAAAAGATGGCTATGCTACGTTTCACTGCATAGCCTTGAAATCCTCATTGTGCTTGGTCTTGGTTTTTGTAGAAAAGAGCGTTTTTTCCAGGCAGCGCTTTCTGTTACGATTGCAGAATATGCAGCAAGAGATGCATTCTTCCATTAATTTTTTTTATGGAGACTTTTTACACTTGTTTATTGAGTGAATACTGCTATAGACAAATATGAAAGTAGAGAAAGTCAAGTTTCTCCAAAGACTAATTTAGAAGAATGAGCCTGCAAGATCTGTGAAAGACTTAAATACCAGATAATGTTGTATTTAAAGTATGGATGAGCAAGAGGTGTGGAGCCTGAGTGACAGGCTGTGGATTCTGGGGCTGCTTGGATAATGCTCTGGATCACTCCAGGAGCCAAGTTAGGTGTCAGACATAAAGATACAGATCAAAGTGTCAGCTGAAGATTCATCCCACTGCCGCCCACTCTTCTGATTTGGGATTATTGTGAAACTATTTTTCTACTTAAGCTTCAGGTCTCCCAGGTCATGTTCATTATAGGTCCCTGCTGTTTTCTCTGGGCTGTACTCAGGTTTAACGGTGTTTCTGCACTGAAAATATATGAGTTGTAATTGCAGATGATGCGTTTTTATTGTCATTTTGGACTTCATATGTGATTGGTTTGTGCTTTGCCACAGCATTGGAAAAGGAACAGAATAAGCCCTACAGTAATTTTTTACCACTGAACTACCATTGCAGAATATTCACTAGGGGGTGAGTAATAACTAAATACTCTTAAAAATATTTTGTTCCCAGAATATCCCAAGCTGAGATTTTATACACATACACGCTTGAAATAGAACCTTAAAATGTAGTCCATTTCTGTGAGACTGGGAACTCTTCCTTAGAGGTTATTTTAAATATTTGTTTTGTTCACAGGAAATTCTGCAAAAAATATCTATAACACCCCACACGATTCTTCCTTCTGGCCTTTTTCTCATTAAGCTGTGACTTTTATCTTTGTAAATATATCTTCCAGCAATTTTACGCTACTTTGCTTTCAAGTTATATTTTTTGTGAAAATTAATATTGCCTTCAAAAATAAAAAATGAATGATCAAGGATTTTTTTATTTAAAAACGTACTGTTCTTGCTTTTTTGTATATATTGATTTTAATTTTTTTTTTCACCTATGAGAAAATTCCTGAGGAAATACTGAATGTGATTTGGTGCATTTCATGTAATATGAAGCAAATATACCTCAACGGTGTTTGTGCTTTTGATGAACTACTGGCATGCTTTTCAGCCCCTTAAAGAGCTATGGAATAAAACCAGCAATAAAAAAGTCGGTTGATGAATTAGCCAATCTACACATTAAGTCTGGAATGACTAAGTCAATTACATCTATTTTCATCTCTTTCACCTTATAATTAACTGTTGCAGTAAGTTGATGTGAATATGAAAGCCATGAAATCGGACATCATAGTGTGACTACAAATGATGCATTTGCAACTTTATTTAAAATGATCAGTGAACTGTAATAATGTAGAAAAGACTGAAAATATTAACGGGGCCTGGAGTGAGCACCAATTTGAAAAGGAACACAAAGGCATTCTGGCTCTCATGTCTAACCAGAATCCTGACTGGAAGGCAGAGTCTTAACCTGTCCTCCTCTGCTGTGGAAGAGAAAATGTAAGTGAACTGAAAGTTTACACACAGTGCATGAAATCTGCAGACAGTCCCACATTTCTGCCCTCCTGGTTGGGGTGAAGTTGCAAAAAACTTCCTCTTTACAGACGCATCTGATTAAACTTTTTTTTTTAAAAAATCTATCCACCACTACAATATGTGGTTCAAGGAATGGGGCTGTCCAGCCTGTCAGGCAGATGCAAGCTCTTTCATTCAGCTTCGAAGTGATGGAAAAAGGGCTGTCTGACACCAGAGCAGAAACAAACATCTGTCGCACCCAGTAAGCAATGATTCCTGTGTTGCGTACCTGCCTCAAATTCCCTGAATGAACTGGCTCACCGAACTGGCCCTGTGCCAGAAAAACAAGTTCTGCCTCCCGTTTTGTTTCCAACCTATCCTGTCCTACAGGGGAATGTGGAAGGGGGAGCAGCAGTCCTTCCCCACCACGTTGCTGTGTGCACTGGAAGAAATGAGGTGAGAGGAAAGGCAAGTGGTCAGACTGTCACTTTGAGGACTTGTTTCAGGTCTTCTCTGAACAGTGTGGTTTCCTCTTTAATGCAGCAGCTTAGCAAAGACAATGAGCACTGGTAAACTTTGGAGTGTGTCAGATGATAAGGCACTCACCTGTCTGGTATTGGGCCCTGGGGGGAATCTCTGGAAATGTGCTTAAGTTCCAAGTTACCAGAAAATTCAGGTTGTGAAATGGTGACGTAAACAACAGTGGAATAAAAAATGTTTTGCTATCTGCTTATTTCCTGATGTTAAGTTTTTGTTTTTCTATGCAAGAACTCTGGTCAAACAGAGAACACACTGAAATTCTTCAGCTGATAGCTGCAGTATATTTTACAAACACCTTCTGCATATAAGCTATGCTAGCTTGGGCATTTTCCTCCAAGTAGGTAGCCATGCACGTTTATGAAGGAAAAAAACATATGTCATAGTAAGATAAATGGACTGGTTTGGGCTTGGTTTGGTGGGTGGAGGGCTTAGTGGTTTGTTTTGTTGGTTTTTTTTTTTCAAAATTCATTCTCTCTTGTCCTGGTCATGCTTTGAAAATTCAGGTATTTCCTACTTTTTCTAGGAGTCTGTTTGGAGTGTTCTGTGTGATAATTAAATAGCAAGTGATGATGGGAACGTATCTTTTTGCTTCTGTTTTTGAGGTTTTAATTTTTTGTTTACTTCAATTCAGATTCTGCCTGTGAAAAGTGTGATTTTGAAACTGCTCTGTGCAAAGCTCTTCATGAATCAAATGTACAGCCTGGATGGATGAGAAGAAATGGTCAGTCTGACATGGGACCACCGTACTCTGACCACAATGGGAATGACAGTGGTAAGAATCTTCATGTTCTTTGAAGGAACTATGGACTCTTACAAATTGTGTACTTCCATCTTTTATTTGCTTAATTTTACTAATTTCTTGAGGTTTAACTTAGATTCTGCCACATTTTCTGAGTGTTTGTGTACAGGTTTTTAGGTGATTAACTGCAATAACCCAGAATTGCAGAAGAAGTGACAATATTCCAGAAAGCAATTCCTGTTATCATAGAGGAGCAAGTAAACAGTCATCAAGAGTTAGGTTTATCTACCTGAGTGACCTTTACCTGTTTTGGAGATATCAAGTGATAATTTCAGTCTTGATGGATGCAAAGTTTAGAAATGAGTGTTGGATCCCCCGTTTTGAGATGTATTTTTGTCTGCTCTTGGATTGGTGAATGCCTAGAGTGTGTGTGTCTGTTATCTCTGGCTAATATTACTGCTCTAAATATTTGGAGAGAAGGTGACTTTGCATCTGGGAACAGGAAGAGATTTGATAGTTTATTTGAGCCAGGTCCTCTCTAAATCTTATTACAATTTCACTTTGCATCAATTGAATGTTCCTCAACTAATTCATTAATCTTCCCTGTCTGCAGATAAAATATGTTCCTTGCTCCAGCCCAAGGTCCAAGTTAACCCTGCTTTCCAAAACATGGCTTCTTCCTTCCATAATATGTAATTTTCTTCATAACTTTTTAGCTAATTTGAGCCAACTTCTTTAGCTGTGGTGAGCCTTCTCCTGCTTTTCAAAGCTGTTAGAAATCTTGTTTGTAAGAAAGCAAGTAAGGAGGGGAAAAAAAAATTGATGGAGACCTCTAATCTAGCAGTAAAGATGTGAGCTGGTTGAGGTAATTCACCCCAAACTGTTGAATTCTCTTTCTGTATTTTCTCTTATTCTCTTTCC